TAATTAAAGCTCATGGGTATACTTGTAACCTCCTTGTTTTCATCAATGTTATTCCATGATTTCCTCCAATGAAACAATCTTTGCAATGAGGGAAATACAGTATTTCAGAACTTTTAGAGTTTGCCCCCTGTTTTTTTAGCTGTAATAAATAAAAATCTCTCTAATAAAAAGCACAGCAGCATTATATTGTTGTGTCAATTATAAATTACTCTTACTTTCAAAGCCCAAAATAAATCTGTGATATGGACAAATTCAGTGTCTAATAATTGAAAGCCTGTCCCGTAGCACTTACCTTGTAACTCTAGTTAATGTATGTTTGCCCATGTCAGAGAAAACATTTCTATACCTCTACACAAAAGTTTGTATCAAAATGTTTTAATCTGAAAGCTTTTAAAAATGTCATTTTCAAGGGTGTTAACTAAATGTCACACATTGTTTAAGTGATAGGGCAACGGATGAAAAAATATTTACATTTTTTACTTGAGGAAATACGAGTTTTTATTGGAAATGATGAAGGTGGAGATTGCAGCAGTGATAATCTATCGCTAAATTGTTTTACTTGTTTTCTTATGTTATTTTAATGATACTGGATTTATCATTTTTAGGGATGGTTCTTCCGCCCTTTTAAAAAAGGGAAGAGGTAGTCAAGTATGGCGGGGGGGAGGAGGTGAGAATGACGTATAGGTGGTGATTGTCAGTACTGAGGGTCGGAATAGCAAGGGGCAGCAAACAGAGACCCTCGTTTCTTAGAAAAAGTATTGGGACTACATACAAAGACGGACACAGCCTCAGTGTTTTATAGAGGAAGGCATAAATAAATCAGGGTGTTTTTGCTCAGTGCATCAGGCAGCTGTTAAGAAAATTAAAAATGGAGGCCTTGTACAAAACAAAATGTGTAATAAAATGTTAAGTGATAAAAGATTGTATATTTGTATATACCCTATGTTCCTAATTATGTAGAAAAATGTGTACATCTGGAGGGAAATAGAGAAAAATGAGAATTGAGGTGGGAATGTGTATTATATTTTTATTGTAGTTTTTGTTGTAAATACTATTGTGCTGAAAAATAAGGAGAACGGCAAAGAATATGTTCAACTCAAGAGCAAAAGCAAAACAAAACACAAAAAGAAAGGAAGAAGATAGAGCCAACCTACGTTTTACACAGTTGTTTACTGCGTCATGGAATTTTAGAGCTGGGAATTCTCTTCCAACAGTTCTCAGAATTTTTGGTCTCAGGATCTCTTTACACTCTAAAAATTGAGGACCCCAAAGAGCTTTCGTTTATGTGATTATATGTCAGTTTTTCCCATATTGAAAATTAAAATTGAGAAATTAAACAGTATTAAGCATTTAAAAATAAAAGCAATAAACCCATTACATGTTAACCTAAATTTATGAAAAATAACTATAGTATATTCCACAACAAAAATTTAATGAGAAGAGTGCCAGTGTTTTCTAGTTTTGCAGATCTCTTTAATATTTTGCTCAACAGAAGACAGCTGGATTCTTTTATCCACTTATCCATTGTCTGTTTTGATATGTTGTTTTGGTTAAAGTATAGGAAAAAAATCTGGCCTCACACAGCTATGTAGTTGGAAAAGGGAGAAGTCTTTTAATAGCCTTTTCAGATAATTATGGCTGCATCACGTTGCCTCTGGAAAACCCTGCCGGACACTCCTGAGAGAATGAGATTGAAAAAAGGCAAATAATGTCTCAGTGGTATTATCAAAATTGTTTTGGCCTCTTGGACTCCCTGAAAACGTTTAAGGACCTGGGGGCAGGGGGCCCTGACCACACTTTGAGAACTGTTTTCTAGAGCCCCAGAGAGAGAGAAAACCGAAACCCAGAAATGTTAAGTGATTTCCCCCAAATCACATGATTGGTGGGAGACAGAGCACTGGGACACGGCTCTTCTGCTCTCATTCCTCATGTTTCTAAGACCTTCAAATTATAGTATGACCTTAGGACAACCTTCGGAAATTGATTCTGAGCATATTTGAGGGCTTCTGAGATATCAAAATAAATGTATTCTTTTTCAATCTTGGAGATTCTTTTTAGAAACTCCGTGGTAGTCAAATCAAAACTTTTTAGAGACAGTGGTATTAGGATTATAAATGGATTTGTAAAGATGGAATTTTTAGCAAATATTGGAAGATATAGAATATTAATTTAAACATTAAATCATAAAGGATATGATACATTTAATTTTTGTTTACCCCCTCGTACTAGCCAGAAAATGTCCTAGCTCTTCTTTCTCAATAATTTTACATAGACACTTTTTTTTTCCCCCTTTTTGTCTTTTTTCGTGTCCGGCAACGGATCGCAACCCTCAGTGTCGCGCCCGCACCGGACCGGACCGGCAACGGGATCACAACCCTCGGTGTTGCGTCCGCACCTCGCTCAGCCAGTGAGCGGGAACCGGTCTGTATGTGGGACCCGAACCCTCGGCGGGAGTGCCACCGCGCTCCCAAGCGGCGCACTAGCGCAGTGCGCCACTGGGCCGGCCCCTACATAGACACTTCTGATTTCGTTTTGGTTTGGTTGTTATTTGCAGTTTCATAATACGAGGCATTTTCCACGTCTGGTCCTCCATTCAAATGTTAGGTGGCTTTCTGGTTTTTAATGTTGTTCACTCATTCCTCCTGGATTCCACTGACTCTCAAACAGTAGTGGCTTGGATGCCTGAGACAGAAAACTCTGAATAACCTTTCTTTAGCCTCTTTGAGTAGGCATTGCTCACATTTCACCGTCTGTGCGCAGCAGTGTGGAAAGGTCCTTTGAGTATCTCCATCCTCTTATCATCCTCGGTCAACCCTCTGCGTGCATCTCAACTCCTTTCCCTCCCCCAGTCAGCGCTGGCCTGTGGCTTAAGGCCTGGGTCTGAGACTCCTCCCCAGCATTCTTCATCGTGTCCAGGTTTTTATTGCAAAGCGTCTTTCTTGATCGGCCTTCTTACTCTACATGCCCTTTCTGTTCCCTGTGTACCGGTTTCTTCTTTTAAAGATTATTTGCAATAAGAATGACTTCCAATTTGCATGGATATACTGGAATCAAGATTCTCACAGTTCCAAAAAGATAAGGCCAAGTTGTCTCATGTTTTGTGTGATGGGACCTGTTGTTCAGATGGCATCACGGTGGACCAGCTGACAGTTCCGAGGCCTCTGTCCTCCCTACTGAGCACCACAGTGCCTTTGCTCCTTGCTCCAGTTTGTGTTGAATATATTAGTGGTAAAAATCAGAGTTAATTCATGATCAGCTGGCAAAATCTTTAGGTCAGTTCTAATCAATTGTATCTTTTCTACCTTTTTCTCCCTCTCTAAAATAAATTACTTCAAAGTTTTATGGGGAAACACCCATACTTTTTATAGCCAGTTTTTCACTTTTGGAGAGGGTGGGGCTGAGAATGTAGTTACTTGGGAGAGAGTGAGATTTAATTCTGGGTTTGGCTCCACCCACTCCCATCCCCAGCCCCCACCCTGTCTTTGAATGGTGGCACCAGGGCATGCAGAAGGCCCACTTACCAGGCCCTGCATCTCCTGTGTGTTTGCCCGTTTGTCTCAGTGCTTCTTTTGGAATGGTTTGAAGTGGGGGCCTGTGTGTCTACGTTATAGTCACAGAACCCTCCTGTTGAGCTATATGGTGCTGTGTTTTCAGCTGCTTTTTCCTTTCCCTTTGGAGCTGGAAAGGTGATTTGTGGGTTGGAGAAAATAAAAAGAAAATTCATTAATTTGAAATATTATTGAGAATTTGTTCTATCTATATCATATAACTCCATTTTAATCTTATCTTTCTGGACTGTTTTCTCATTTTCTCTGTCCATGTGGGAGATAATTATTTTAGTGTTTCACATACAGTGGAAGCTTACTATATATTTGTTTAAAAGAGAAGTAAAGATACAACAGAAAAATGCAATCTAGCTAGGGAGATGGGATAATGGAGCGAAGACTTTGAAGGGCATTTGGATTTGTAGGTTCTTTTTTTTTTTTCTTTCCTTTTTGTCTTTTTTACTGACCGGTAACGGGATCGCAACCCTCGGTGTTGCGCCCGCACCACGCTCAGCCAGTGAGCGGGAACCAGTCTCCACATGGGATCCGAACCCTCAGCGGGAGCGCCGCCGCACTCTCAAGCGGCGCACTCTCCAGTGCGCCACCGGGCCGGCCCAGGATTTGTAGGTTCTAATCTCATCCTCATTATGACTATCTCTGTGACTTTGTCAAATGACTTAACTACCCTGAGCTTCCATTTTCTCTTCTGTTACATGTTGTCTAGGAGTGTTTACCCCTCACTTTATTATTTATTTATTCCACAATTACTTATTAAGTGCCTGTTGTGTGCCAGGCACTATTATGAAGGTTGGAAATATGGTAGACAGCCAGACAGCCGTAGCTCCTGCTCCCATTGGTGAGGGATGTCTGTATCCCCCATGGACAACAGAAAGTCCTGGCTCTGTGTCTGTTTTGGGTAGGACCATTGCAAAATCCTTAAATGCTTTGTTTATTTTTTCATCTGTAAAACGAAGGATGGTAATATCTTTTATTATTATTGTTATTATTAGCATATTCATCATTACAAATCATAATCTTTCCTCATGCCCACCACCTGACCTATCACTCCCCACCCCCTCTCCCTCCCTCCCTCCCTCCATCTCTAGTATCTTTAGCTTTGGTCTCTCCTTCTGAAAGTTCACTGTATTATTGTGGTCCGTCCTTCCCTTGCCTCCGCTCCCCTCCCCTCTACTTCTTTGAAGATAGTAATATCTAACCTGTTTATTTTATACAGTTGTTTTAAGGCTCAAATAAAATAAAGTATGTGGGAGTGCATTTGAATGTGGTCGTAGTGTGTAGTGTATACTAGTGTCCATAGTAAAGTATTGTTTTATTTGCTGTAAAATTTCACATGTTCACTAAAGCTTGGATGGGGAAATCCTAAATCAACTTAATCTTGGAGTTCAGAGATATTCAAAAAACATAAAGCGTGTTTGTTTTTTCTTCTCTTCACAGAAAAAGGTAATGCTAAATATGTTTTTAGACACGATGATGGCCGATCCTCCTCCCCAGTGCCTTGTCTGGCTACCTCTCATGCACAGGCTTGCCCATGTTGAGAATGGTAAGCAGAACTTTGATTGTTCAATTCTTTATACTGTAGGAAGTGTAGGAACTGATTATTTGCAATGTTCTTAGCTATTGCGATCATAGAAAATTATGACTGACATTTGCTGGCAGTCTACCATTTGAATTTGTGATTTTGACTTTCAAAAGTGGAAATTTTACTTCTTTTAAAAGGGGTGGGGAGAAATAAACAGAAAAAAGAGAGAAAAAAATAAAAATTAAAAAGGGAGACTTATTACTTAGATAGGATATCAAGAAGCAGAATCAGGCCATAAAACTGTGATTCAAACTGTAGGCTTTTCCTTCCTAAGATTCCAGATGGCTGTTTCTGCTTGTGCCTACCTGATTTAGCCATGACTTCCTTTTTTCCCCTTAATTAATCAGCATCGTAGCTCTAAAAAATTGTATGTATGCGATATCAACTGCTAAAACTGTAATTATTTTGTAATAATTTTTTAAAAATAGGAAAGGTGTAATTTCATATTGGCTTTCACACATCCTCCACTTTTTCCTTTGCTATTTTACCTTGAATCTACTCTTGGTATCCTCCCCAGTAATTTGCTTAAGTCTTTGTTTTGCTTTGAATTGAAATGGCACTTACCTCTCAGTAACTTCTTAATGTTTCCTGTCGTTGCCATCATTTTATTGCTTCGTGTGGGTTTTTCAAATTCATGAAAGGGAAGGCTGTAGTTTTTCTAAGCAGCCTCCCTTCTCTCAAGGCTCTTGGCTGTCTTTCTTCATTCCACAAAAGAGAACAAGGAATAGCTGAGAAGCTGCTAAAAAGCTGTCTCCTCTTTTTTCCCCTTGTAACAATGAAATATACTTCCATATTATTTTTTTCTCCCCCTCATATCCATACTTTTTTTCTTTTTTTAATTTCTCAGTCTTTTACCTAACTATGGCTTTAGTTCACAAGTACCTTGAATTCAGGATTTTGTTTTTTTAAGTGACCAGAATCTTTTATTAAACTAAAACAACTAAAATTTTTTAACAGGATCTTTGAATAGAGATCTAAACTTTTGAGAGCAATGTTTTTATAGCCTTAAGTGTTTTAGTAGTTGCATATCATAAAATCATTTTGTATTTGCTGTATCAAGTAGAAAGAACCTCATTTGTCAATATACATTGTTATCCATAGGAACATTTTATTGTGATTTTATATGTAGTATGTTATTTATTGATTGCATTCTTATATGGTTAGTGTTATTATTTTTCTTGGAGACAGAAATGT